ATCAAGAATCTTGTTGCACTGTTTTTTGAAAAGGATCAATTTTGTCCCATTAATCACTAAGTAAGTCTAATCATTTGTACACTCAATTGTAAAATTGCCTCCTTATTATTCACCATACTCCTGCAAAACCCCTACTAACCCACTATAAGAAATATTCACTTCCTAAGTGAATACAATATTTTTATATCTATCAGAGCCTTATACCCCCGTTGTCACTTTATGAAAATTAGCTTTTTTTTTCTATTGAAGTAAATTTCAGTTTCTTACAAATAATATGTGACCTCTGTTCCATATGAAATGGAAATCTATCATCCAGATTGTTCAACAAGACAGACTTATTTTATCACTTATATTTTAATTACAGTAATGTCAGACTCAGAGTTCATTAAGTTTTTTAAGGTACCATATCTTGTGTGTAAAGTATTTTTATTGAGAAAATGAATTTTTCCCCACCAGGAAAATATCTCTCTAATTAGAAAGCACATATTATTAGTGCAAATATATCATATTAAGCATACACTCTGATGAATTGATAATTCAGCTCAATTTCAAATTATAATCATTTTATTACCATTCTGCAAGAAAGAAACCTCCAATGAAAGGAGAAAAGTACTAAGCTATTTTGAAACATTGGATTCTTCTTGGCTCACTCAGGTCTTTTTGCAAGTGATGGTTGCTTTGCTGGTTTATAATAATTTGAATATTTTCTTTTATTCTTTTAATTACCAGTGGGCATTTGAAGCTGATGCCTCCAAACTACCAAAACTGTTGCCTAACTTTAAATATAACTTTTCAATAATCTCTAAAAATGTTATCTTCTTTGAGGGAGTTACAAGAAAAGTTGCATCTGTCCTCATTAAAATATCCTCCATTTATACTAGACATGGTGATTATATGAAGAGCATTGTCTATATCTTACTGCAGATACTGAATAGTGTCAGAGGGAATGATCATTTGTTGTTGTCACAGAATCTGCAGTTTTAGACAGCATATAATACATTAGTTTTCAAATATTCTTCATTAGAACTCTCCAAGTTTAATTTACTCAACTGTATGGAGGTTAAAGATTTGCTGGTAAAGCACTCATCATTAACAGTGATTATTCATCGTCACTCTTGAGTAGGCAAATTCCACTTTTGTAGATTTTCTCTGCTAAGGAGAATTAATGGGAGCTGGGAAATCATAGCAGGGACCTTCAGGCCACAGCTATAAAGGTTGAGAATTAAAAATGGAGAAGGAAAGGAAATTATTTGATTGGCTGTAACTCAAAGTCTAGTTGACTGATTAATTGCCCCTGGAGTTTCATTTTCTTAACCTTGAGGTATTTACAGGCTTAGATTTGGGGTTGCTTCTGTAGGCTGTGTAAGGGCAGGAATTGGCACAGGGCAGGTTTTCTATGATCCAGCAGACGAGTGAAGGAGGAGAGAGTCCTGGAGCCCTCAGTGGCTTTTGCAGGTTTTTATTGGGATTTACCAGGTACATGGCAGGCAGGGGTGCTGGGGAGCCGGGAGACTAGCAGGCCTCCCAGCCCCCAGCAAGTCTTCACTCTTTCTGGGTTGTCTCATGTTCTCTCTGCTTCTCTCATGCTTCTCCTTTCTCCATTCGTTCTGCTTCTCTGCTTCTCCTGCTTCTCTTCTCTCGGCTTCTACTGTGGTCCCCGCGACGCCGCCCCTAAAAAAAAAAAAATCCCAGTCTCAGCCCAGGCGAATCCCATCTACCTATGCCCACACCCTATTCCAGGTACCCGCCATCAGGCATGCATTCAGGACCGCAGGGTTCCCTCATCTATCCTAATGGCGAGAGGGCAGAAAAACCTGATATTTTTACCTTACCCTACAGGCTGCAAGAACATTAGTGCCACCTCAGTATACAGGTCTCCTTGTTTAATTTAACACAAAATATTTCCACTATAAATGAGGATGATAAATTCATTCTCGTAGAAGGAAGGCATTTCTGGTACTTCATTGCCTCCCACCACTTTCTCTAAAACCAGCCTTTCCTTGAGAAAAATTATGCACATCTCCTTGATAAAAACAAAGTGACTGCCTATTAGTAACTGATATGGAAAACTATGAAGGAAGAGGCAGAAAACCAAGTAAGGCAACTATACAAAATAAATTTCCAGCTTGAAACACCTTTCAGTTTTTGTTTCCTCGTTCTTTCATCTGTTTCCTATCCACTATTACAGGGCAAAGAATTTGAATTGAAAAATGAATTTTTCCTGCCATAGTGCTCTACAGGTTTGAGCAAAAGAACACTGATATGAAATTGGAACCTGTGGATTATCTCTAACCTCAATGTTTGTTACATCTCAAATGCCACTCTTGAGGATGGAGAACAAGGAAAAAAGGCAAATCTTCTGATAATTAGAAACCCCTGGGGGAATACAGGAACTCATACATAGGTTTAATTGCTCTTTCTCTTCTTTTTCTCCCTTTTTTGCATCGGTCCTAGTGTGCAGCGCTCCCCTCTTCGGGGAAACGGCACTGCGCACTTTGGCACAATTAAATTCTCACTCCAGGGCAAAAGCTGAAAGAGTTCTCTCAAAACAGCCTTTTAATTTTAGGAGTGGCTGAGCAGGGGCTCTGTAAAAAACAGATTGGGAGAAATACTGTGCAGTGACACTACAGCATACTCAAGGCTTCTAGTTCTGAGAGGCTCTTGAGCATGCTCAGAGATGGGAACTTTAGGTGTCTCTAATTACAAATAGGCTACAAAACTTTTGTTGTGTGTGTAAAGCTAAATGTAATGAAATTTCATTGCTCAGTATAATAAAATGGCATGTCTGGAGGCATTATGGAACTCTAGGCCGCTACTGGATGGAGGGATGAGATGAGAGACAAGCCCTGGTGGGTACAGAGCAGAGGCTGCATTGAGGTGATCACAGCAAAAGAGGAAATGAGCCCTGTCAATATTCAGGAATAAGAGAAGGAATAGGAATTTACTTCTGGATGGAACCTGAGAAGTATCGATGCAAACGTAAATCAGTGGTAGCCTTCATGCCTGGCAGAATTGTCCATTTTTTTCTTCAACATTGTAGGGTCAGGAAGGACACTGAACAGGTTTTCTATGATCCCATGAAGACTGGGATAGAGGAAAGAGTCCTGGAGACCTCGGTGGGTTTTCAGGCCTTTATTGAGACTTACCAGGCATATGGCAGGCAGGGGTGATAGGGGGCCGGGAGGCTGGCAGTCCTCCCAGCCCCCAGCAAAACCTCACTTTATCTGGGCTCTCTGGCATTCTCTCTGCTTCTCTTCTTCTCTCGGCTTCTGCTGGTGTCCCTATGATGCCGCCCTTATAAACTCAGTCTCTCAGCCCACTTCAGGTGCCCGCCATCAGGCATGCATTCAGGACCACAGGGTTCCATCATCTATCCTCATGGTGGGAGGGCAGAAAAGCCTGATACTTTTACCTTACCCTACAAACATTTATTGAGCTATGTGTCAAGTACTGTGTTATATCCAGAGGCTACTGAAAAGAATAAAACATGACTATTATTTGCAAATATATAGTGATATAGATGTGGAAACTGATGATTATATTCACATAGGATTCAAATCAATGGGAAATAAACAGTATTAAAAGGTGGACAAGGAAATGTAAGAAATCATCAAGAAGAGTCAGAAAATGCTTTATGGAAAAGGGATTATTTTAGCTGGAACATAAAAGCAAATAGGATTTTTCAAGGCATGGAAATAAATTGCAGTCTAGATTGTAGAAACAGCATGCCCCATGATATGTTATGGAAGGGAATATTTGGCTAGAAAACTTAGAGTATTTTATTTATGGGGAGAAACTAGAAATGGATTATTGGGAGATAGGGAAGAAATGAGGCTGACCAGCAGATTCCCTGGAAGGCAAGAGAGGTCAGGAGTTCTGCATTACAAGATTGTAGGCTGAAATGCAGATGGGAGAATGTCCTACATGTACACAGCAGAAGGTCAAGAAGCAACCAAGCTATGTGGAGCTTCTGAGGTGCAAATGACTCAGAAATGCATCTCTAGGCCATAATTATTCTTAGGTGTTCACTGTTGTGTTAGAAAACAAATCCAGACTGTTAGGCAGTTTCCTACTTGGAAAATGCTATGAAACTTCCCCAAGGATACCTGGTTAGTAAATGTTAGAGCCAAAATGAGCACAAATCCACTTATTAGTGAGACCAGGCTTTATTCCCTAGAGTGGGCTGCCTCAAACCAAGAATATAAATATTTGCAATATAAAGAAAAAGCTTATTTTTTTATGCTCCTTCCTGTTTAGTTTGAAGAGTGCTGTAAGGAGTTTTCTGAAATCACAAGGGTTCCAGGTGCAGAGATTTATGTTAAAAAAAGGTTATCTGCTGGCAGCCCATACCCTCAACAGGTGGCGTTTATCTTGGTCTGATTACCATGATCCTGGATCAAACACTTAGAAATTGGATCAAAAAGCTGATTCACTCTCAGCACATTCATAAGATATTGATATATACATCAAAATGCCGAATTTTAAGTGTATAATAGGTTGCTGATCAGACTAGAAATTCACTTCTGCTGTGGTCATATTCTTTCCTATTCAAAACATTACAGGGAAGTCAAGTGAAAAGATGTTGACTAAAGCTGTGAAATGGAGGCGTTAAATGCTCAGAATAGCAAGATAAATTGCATTTATTCATTAAAGAATTATTGAACAACTTGATATAAACTATCCTGTTTACACGGTGTACTTGAGGAACAGCATGTAATCAAAACTCAAAGTCACTTCTCTCAGAACCTCTCAATCTACTGGGAGAGGCAGCCTAGAAATAGTTATAATACAAGTAACCAATGCTCTCAGAGAGGCCTGGATTTATTTAATCATGGATATACCTGGAATGACCTTTATTCAGGATAAGGGTCAGGTGGGGGAGTTACAGAGCGGGTCTGGAGGAATCACACCTGACTCGAATATGAATGATGAACATTCCCACATGAGAAAGGAGGGGTATAAAAGACAGGACTCTTCAGGTTTTCGATACATCTTAGCAGAGACCAGGAGCGAAGGGCAGCTTGGAATTCAAACTGTAAGTTCAACCTGTTGCGATCACAGTAGAAGGCTAGAAAGAAATGAGTTTGGGCCAGGTTTCAAAAAACACATTTCACTCTCTCCAAACAGTGGGAGATTTGGGGTGGGGTGGGGAGCCAGAGGCTGCTGAGGGGAGCCAGCTCTGTGCATATATATGTGTTGATGTATATTTATATTTGCTTTGGGTTCTTTGTCATGATGTGTTAAATGTTTTTTAGTCATTTAAGTTTTATGGTTTGTTGGTTAGGTTTTTCTCACAATGTTTATATTTTAGTTAAATGTTTATCCCTGTTGGTATAAAGTTGTTGCTACCAGCCTATATATTCACAGAAGGTATAATCCTCATTTTGTTATATTGCCGACATTTGTGCTTTCTTTCATTTTCCCTTCGTTAATTTTGCCAGATGTTTTTCGGTTTTATTAGGTTTTTGTTAACTTTATTTCATTAATTTCTTTTTCCCTTCCTTTCTTTTAGTTCTTAAGATGGATGTTTAGCTATTTAAGTTTCAAATTTTTGGTGTCTTAGTTGCTAACCATGAAGGTAGTCCCTCTATTTCAACTATGATAGCGAATGTTTTTATTGTATTTCACTCCTTTACAATATTTTAAGATTTAATCATGATTTTTCTTAAATTAGTGTGTGTATAAGTATTTGCCTTTCATATAAGTGGCTTACTTTTATCTTTTAATGATTTCTAATTTAATTATCGACTGGTCTCTCTGATAAAAATCTTGGGAGGTGTTTTGAAATTTCAATGTTTTATCTCTAAAGATTTCCTGTCCCGATGTGGGTTTTTTAATTAATTACTAATAGTCATTGTACATATTTTGAGTTTAAGATATATAGCCATTATTTTATTCTAAAACTTTGTTGTTAGATATTTTATGCTTCATCCATCATATTTCATGGGGTTTTTTATGATTAATTTTGGATAATTTCTTTAGTCTTCTAATTTATGTGCTCAAGTTTTAATTTTAGTCACTATTTTTACTAATAAATGTTCTTATTGGTTCCTTTTCAAAACTGTTTTTGGAAACCTCTCATGCTGTTTCTGCTGTTTATATATTCAGGGTCCTATTTTATTTCTTGGAACATACAAATACTAATTCTTAATTTTGTGGTAAATATGAGTTTTTAAAGTTTTAATTAGTTGTGGTTTCTGCTCATGACATTCTGCTCATGTGGTTTCTGTGGTTTTTACTCATGACATTTATTTTCAGATTTTGTGACTATTGACTATTATATTCTGGCAAATTTATTGGTTGGGATATTTTAGACCTAGGTCAAAGTTGATGTTCAGGATGTATTTTGAAGTGCTTTTGATAACAACTTCAGAGTATTACTCTCCTGGGATCAGCTTGAACTATATTATGGGATAAAAGGGTTTTGCTGTTACCATCATGAGGGGCAGCTGTAGTCATGAATTTTCAGTGAGGAGTTTTTTTCTCCCATCCTGCGGCAAGATTGAAAGTGGGCAGTTTTTCATGTTTCCCCTTGAGGAGGACTAAAGATTTATTTCTGGTCATCATTCCACTGATGGATTTTTTTTTTTTAGGGTATCAGTTAAAGGTGGGGTCTTCTGTGAGACCCTTCACTTCAGGAGGTTCCTAAGCTGTTTTTTTCTATTTCTGCCTCTCCATCCCCACCTATAACACAAAAACAATAATGAATAGGAACTGGCAAAGACTCTAAAGCAAAAGCCAACTTCAGTGCTTTGTTTGAATTCTATTTTCACTGATTTGGGTCTCCTAGGAGTCATTGTATTCTTGCAGACCAATAAAGGTACTTAATGTTTTAAAAATACTTTAAGCCATTTTAAGTTCTTAGTGAGAGTGTTGTCAGTGTGTGAGTGAAGTCCAATATGTTGCTATCAATGCAACCCCATTCCTTTTTTTTTTTTTTTTTGGTTTGATAGAGTGGGTATTATCAGTTTGCTTTTTATTTAATGTATCAACATATGATTAAAATGTTATTCACCAGAAAGAATATAAGAGCTTCTTCACTGTAGTTGATTAATATGAATATTGTGCTATGAAGCTAAAACTAGATACAAGCAAGTGAAAGCAGCACTGTAACAAGTAGAGAAGTTGACATATTGAAAGACAAAAGCAATAAACTCTGGGCATGGAGCTATTGCTAATTGAGTACTCAAATTAAAAAAAAAAACTAATTGAAATTTTTTTTATTATCCTCTAGGTATTCTAATGTTACTTTTTTGCTAAATAAAGAAATTTGTGGTGGTAAGCTTTAAGAAATGGTGGGGGATATCTAAGATAAAGGAAAATTTGTCAGGTTTTATTTCAGGGACACATCATCCATGGAGACATTACATGTATAATGTAATTCAGGACTGAGGAAGTAATGGGCAGAAAGATGGAGACTTCTTATTCAATAGATGAGCCAGTATGCCACAATCTCCTACTGGAAAATTAAAGTCATTCAATTTGGCTATTTGACCCTGTGGGATTTCACAGAAACAATTCAAAGCACAATGATGCTATTATTGCTGATGCTATAGAGGCCCTGTAGAACTAACAGGAAAAAGAAAACTGTACCTCTTTAGAATTACAAATTAAATATGTATGAAATACCCTCTACCCTAACTTTACCTCCTCCTAAAATCTGACTCAGGGGATATTTGGAAAATATAGATTTGACAAGTGAAACATAAATAACCTATTTAGTTTCTTGGTAGCTGAATATATTTTTGTTGTTAACCTAGAGAGATAGCAAAAGAGAAAATCAACTATTTAAGTACCCTGTGTGTAGCCTGCTCAGGAAAATGACAACAAAATAAATGACCATTTTCATATTGCTCTCTAGTGCAGCTAGAAAGGAATGGTCTTATTTCTTGAGTCTGACATAAATGCTGGATTTTCAGATTGCTAGATTGTATATGTGTATTTTAGGATATTGTTTTTTGCAGTGTTCTTAAGAAAATTAACAAAAGAAAATGACTTCAGGATGCAGAAATCCATCTTAAATAAGTTGGAGGGGAAGAGGAACACTGTATTTGGGGAATTAAAGTTACAATCCTAACGGGTTTTTTAAACCATATTACATGGCATTTTTAAATGTATTCTAAATTTTTTTCTCCATGAACAGCAACTGCTTGAATCAGTTATGTACTCAATAGCTAGTAAGACAATTTCATTAAGTTGCAATTGCCTGTACAACAGAAAATATTTGCAGACAGTTATCATAGAAAATAGTAGTAGAATAGTCACCTTATTGAAGGATGATTGCATCTCCAAAAAAACACAATGCATGAATAGCACTGTAGTAATTTATACTTTCATTGGTTGGAGTATTTTGAACTTTACTATCACTAGATATTTAAAGACTGCAATAATTATAGGAACTATTAGGCTAAAATAAAATACTATTCAGAAGAAAACTTTTGTTACCTAGTTTCTTGGATTTCTTTATGTAAAGACTAATCAGTGCATAGATTTTATGGTTCATACACTGGATATACCTAGAAACCTATTGCAAGATATGAAAGAGAGCACTAAGCAGAATCTAGAAATTAACTAGCAATCTCAATTTCAAAACTTCTCTGGACCTTAGCTTCTTGATTTTGTGCACTAAGATTGTAACAAAGGCCTATTCTAATCCAAACTTTATAAAAGTTAAGAATTATTAACCAGGTTGATTTAGCTTCAAAAAAAAAAACAAACATCCAACTCTGTTTTGTAGTGGTTTTTTGGGAGCCTGACTCTATTCTTTGGCTATTTGTGTTAAATCAGTTGAGGAGCCAGGTGATAAGGTCTACATATGTGAGATAGCTGTCCAGTCATTGACAGTTTATTCTCTCTGAAGCCAGTGGATGGAGTAGTTTCTCACCCCTGCAGTTAGTGCAGTTAGTTTAACAGTAGTACTTATAAATTTTTGACCATTCATGATATGGCATATCTGTGAGGATACCTAATACCCATGGGAAACCTGTGATTGAGATCAAAATTATTGTCCCAGTCCCTACCCTAATGAAATGACCACCATATCTTGACTGAATTACTGCTCCAATAGCTTCTGATTTTATTGATATGTAAATAATTCTCATCACAGCCTTCATGGGAGACTTCTTCAGAAAACAGGGATTTTTGTCTAATTATAATCTTTAGCCTAGATCAATATCTAATAAATGAGTGGTGCTAAATGAATATTGAATGAAAGGATAGGATGAATAGATGACACTTATCTCCTTCAAACATTTTTTTTTTTAAATATTAAATTTTATTTTTATATTCCCCCATACAATTGCAAACGCCCCATTCTGACCCCAATCCTTCCCCTCCCGCCCCCCACCCCTCAAAAAGTGTCTCTGGTTCATAGTTTTTTGTTGATTTTGATTTTCACTTTCTTATATTCATTTTCCTGGTCCCTTATTTAAGTTTTCTAGATTCCTGCTATGAGTGAGACCATCCGGTATTTTTCTTTTTCTTTTTGGCTTATTTCGCTGAGCATGATCCCTTCCAGTGCCATCCATGTTGCTGCAAATTGCATGTGTTTATCTTTTTTGAATGCTGAGTAATATTCCATGGTATATATGTACCACATCTTCTTGATCCAGTCATCTATTTTTGGGCATTTGGGTTGTTTCCAAAGCTTAGCTATTGTAAACAGTGCTGCTATAAACATAGGAGTGCAGGTGCTCTTTGGAATTGATGTTTCTGTGTCCTTTGGGTAAATACCTAGGAGTGGAATTGCTGGATCATATGGAAGCTCTATGTTTAGTAGGTCCAGAAATCTCCACACAGCTCTCCATAGTGGTTGGACCAGTTTGCACTCCCACCAACAGTGCACAAGAGTTCCTTTTTCTCCACATCCTCGCCAACATTTGTTGTTGCTAGTTTTTTTAATATGTGCCATTCTCACTGGTGTGAGATGGTATCTCATGGTAGTTTTGATTTGCATTTCCCTGATTACAAGTGATGTTGAACATTTTTTCATATGTCTGTTGGCCATTTTCATTTCCTCTTCAGAGAAGTTTCTTT